TTACAACTTATGTTCTCCCTGATAATCACATGAGCATCACTCACTATTAATCATCTTGTAAAAACTTATTTAGCTAAATACATTTTGCAGCACCACATTACTTCGTAATATGACACAGGTCTAACTGATTTTAATAACTTGTAACCACTATATCTCAATTAAATCGTGTTCCGCCTTATGATAAACTGCATACTTGCAACTAACTTGTATGTCCAATCAGCCGGCAAGTATAAATACAAGTAAATAGTCTGCCACAGATCAGAACATTGAGTCTAGAGCATGTCTCTTACGAATACGCTCATGTTTAACGATTTGTTCCTAGCTATCTGTCCAAAATTCATATAATCATCACTCACGTATTTAAATTTTATTTTGATAACCATTCATGTGTATTAGTAGTATTACCAAATTCTATCAAGGTCAAGTAAAAATGAGGTTGAGAAAATCTCCCCGTAACTAAATAAACCGTATCAAACTAACTGAAACACTAGTTGGAATTCTTTACCATGGTAATACTTTTGTTCCTTCAGTTAGCCTACTGATACAGATGCAATTGGAATTCAACTCTTATGGACAACTTACCGGCATAATCATTATCCGATTTCATAATTTAAACCAAAACTAATACCAATATTAACATTTCTACAATATTCATTATTTTAATATTTCTAAACACAAAATAATTACTGCCTATAAGTTAAGTTATTAACACGCATCGTTTTATAATTATTATTATTGTAACCCCATTTTTTTATAGCTTAAATAATCTTCACCCAGATTTTCATTTCAAGCGTTTTAAACATGAAGGCAGATATTTTAAAATTATTACATGTATTTCCCGACCAGATGCTGCCGCTTTCTTTTTGATTTATCTTTCAGCTTATCATTACCCGGGGGATTCTTCCTAGTCTTGGTAACCTCCGGCGCGCGACGATCCCATCCAATTTGGTATCGAACCAACATCAAGTTGATTCTGGTGGGAGAGTAGTGTAGTGGAATTGGACAATAGCCACACAATCCACAAAGCTGTGAACACGAGACTACTCAGAAAATAAATATTCAATATTTAACGCCGAGAAATACCTAACAATGGAGAAGGCGCGAACAAGGAATTGAATGGACGGGAGTTGATCGAGTGGCATGGCTCGTCCATGCAGACGTGGTCCATCTCAGTGTTACTTTATATCTTCTATTCATATTAAATATATTGTTCTTTCTCTAGCCTAACCTTGTTCCTCATCATGTATTGGTAATTGATACGATACAGTGAGTTGGTGTAGTCGATGGTGTGACTTCCACGTAAGATCTTATAGATTAGGCAGTTATATCATGACAAATCGACAAGTTTAAGATTACGTTCATTATTAGAGCAGTACTAATATCATAGTAGACCATAATTCTACAAATACTGGTGGTCCTGCAGTCGTTACGTGAAGTACAACATTGTTGGTTACACATGGCAATCCTGGTTGTGCTTGGTATATCTCAGGGTGCTTAGTCAGTATTTGTTGGTAGTATGGATCGATCGTGTGTTTTATTGTGAGTGGAGATAACTTACAACTGGAAAAAGTCACACAAAAAGATAAGTTAGTATTGCCGTCTACTAACCCCTATTTGCGCATGTCTATGAGTACATTATGATGTAGCAGGTTCATACCAATGATTGACACAGAAACATCTGCAACAACGAAAATCCAGTGGATGGGTTTGTGTAAATCCACGCTAAGATAAACATATCGCTTACCATATATGGCAACCGGTTTCCCACTTGCCACCTGTAATTTGAAAACTGCTTCAAGCAGTTGGTTGTTAGAATTCGCCGAAAAAACGCCAACCTCTGAGCCAGTATTGCCGAGGTAGAGAACTTCTGCGGTCATATCAGTGATGTAAAACAGGCGGCCATGCTTGCCAGCTACGGTTGCCGTTAACGCGCGCAGGCTGGGAAGTTTCTCGAAACACTTCTCATGTCGGTTGGTTTGGAGCTCGCAAAGTTGTGGGGGTTTCTGCAATTTCGAGAAGAATTTCCATACTGATTATGTTACTAGCGTCAATCAGGGTTATCTGTCTCTCGTGATCTAGAAACAGATCGTTTTCGTGAAGCACTCCTTCAAGGAGTTTGGGATCGTCGACGGTCATGACGAATCCTAAGGTAATGTGTCAGAGTATGACAAAATTCCATAACGTCATCTCGTGTTGTTTGAGGTTTTTCTTTGACTAAACAGACCCCGGCGTTAGAAATCCTGGTGATCCTCAGAATCCGGTCGGCAGATGCAGCCAGCTCGTTTACAGCGTTGTTTTGAAATGAGACCAGCACTGCCTGCACCTTCTCCGGAAGCATAGATAAGAAAATTTGTCTAAACAGGCCATCGTCGAGGATCTGTTGACTAATGACCCCTCTCATTCGCAACAACATGTCTGTTGCTGAGTCATACTGTAGATTGATGTTGTGGAAGAGTTGGTCTAAACTTTGTCGATCGGTCAGATCTCCGCTCTTAGGAGTAGACCTTTTAAGAGTTTCATAAGGTTCCGAAACATCACTAGTGGACATACTAGGTGTGACGTGCCTGTTAAAGTCGAGCGGTAATGCCTTCACTACTGCGAGTTGCGCACGTGGATCGGTCAAGCCGTGCTTGTGGAAGTCAGCTTTTGAGTAGCAGAACCAGGCTTCAGTATTGTCGGGCCAGAATGGTATTAGCTTAAATGAGGGTGGTGTAAGAGACTTGATCTTAAATAATTCGGGAGTCTGTTCGGTTATGATAAATTTAAAGTATGTATCACAATATATAGAGATTAAAGTAACATATTGATACATAAAGTCCCAAAGAGGAACAGATTCATAGTCTATGAATAGGTATACCAGATCACGTTAGGCTCATCACTAAAGATGCTACAAGTATTCGGCGTTTGAAAACACCTTGATCAGTAACATCTTTCATAATCGAAACGTGCCAAACCAGTGAAATCGGAAGTCACTAGCGAGGAGGCTCGAAGATATATTTCATAGAATATCGACATATCGAGAAGTGACTAGTCTATACTGGATAGTGGTTGTAGGGGAAGTGAAGCATGGCGTACTCACTCGTGATCTGGTGTGGAGACATGACCGAGAGCCTACAGCTAGGTGAGTCCACTAACCCCAATGTGGTCATCATCAAATGTCGAAGACTTACAGAGCTATTGATGTTAGGGATTTATTTACCGCTACACAACCTTCGAAATATCCGTGATACTGGTTCTTCAAAGAGATGCCTACATTGACCAACTCACTAACTGTTCTTGTCACTTAAAACAGAATACTGAAGAGAATCGGTGATCCATTAACTGGTTACGCGAAAGCTTCTGTTCATTCACAACAATTTGAAATGTTTGTTCGCGTGCAATTTCAAGCAACCCGATACGATGCTGGGGAAACACGTACGTGCATTGTCGGGACGAGGATGTCATGTCTGGGTGAATTTAGGGAGTGTGAGGAATGCCAACACCTATTTGCCTTATTCAGAATATCATCCAAATATTTATCCTCAAGTGATGGGAGAACTTTGTGATCTGGAATTTCCACCTGATAGAAGGCGTTTATCTGTTGTCAATCGACAACCTCAGCTTCTAAATACAAACCAACTTGAGCTTGGCGAGTCAACTTACGTTAATTTTAAGTATGTAGTTTACACTAAATATTTACTAAATTATTTTTTGAAGATTATTGTCTTATTTATATTATTACTACTTTTGATTTAATGAGTAGTATATTGAGCATCTACAAGGAGTATTTTTCCTGTTTAGTGGATATTATATAGATTTCTCTCTTTAAATCTCTACTAGTTACGCTATTTTGTAATTATTTTAATTGTACTAAGCCCCCTTTTTTTTCTATAAATTCAATGAATTGAAATTGTATGTGTACATCTGAAAGACAAGATACCTATTTACCTTTTAAACTACAATTCTCTACCCGCAGATTTAGTACAAAAATGAGATATAAGCATAATAGGAACCGTTAAAAGTTGAGCGGAGAAATATTTCGCTTCAATTTGTTCATTCTAATCGCTCTACACTGATATATAGGTTTTAAGATCTAGTGAAAAATCAGTACTAAATAAATAGTGAAGAATCAATTTACCAATGTATCTCAATACTATTAGTTTAACAAATATAAAATTAAGGCTGAAACAACGTTACATAATCGTTTACTTATTACAAGTGATTAATTAAGAACAAGAATAGCAGTTGAGTAAGATTGAAATCGAAATATGAACATTTGACGTTGTTTTTAGAAATAATAATGAGTAATTAGTAAGACAGATGTAAAAATAATATTAGATTACTAAATTACTTAAATAGATTATGCTACAAATAAGATGGGTAATAAAAGTTAAAACGAACATCACTGAGAACGGTGACAGTATGTTAGTGATCAAACTCTAATGTGATGTTGAGGAGTCCCATACTACGACGAGACGGCCGTCCAGTACTTCCAGGTTTTCCATGGTGGTGGTCTAGCTTTAATTGACTCTTGAGTTCAACTATTAAATTACTACAATCTCCACAAAACCCCCTTCCTGATTATTCTGAATTACAAATAAAATATAAAACACACTATTGACAAATGTACCATAACCACCTTACATTTTGTAATTTGAAAATAATAGATGTATCTGAAAAATATTCCAATACAGTCTAGAATGTTCCTGTGTCTAATATCTAAATTAACCTAAAAGATCTATGCTATTCGACTATCATGTTCAAAAGATTTAATTCAGGAAAGGGATTGTTATTCATTAGTATTTATCATACAATAATCATTTCATCGAATGGAGGAATCGCGTAGAACAGTTTATATATCAAAGAAATAAACTGAAAATAATCAATATTCTTTATTCACTGTTTATCAACTGACAATAACAAATTGTTTACTTTAATTATCTGAGTTATAAATTTATAAGAATCTGTGAAATTCATTATTTTCTTTAACCTTTAATCATACCACTTGCTTATGGTATACCTGTCAATTGTCTAATTATTGGTTTCAGAAGTATTTATGGATATTTTCTTCTCGTATTTAAATAACATTCAATTTGAGTCATTCTCATATTCTGGTTTCTCTTTCAGATAAAGTCAGATAGTTGAATGTGTATATTCAATAACTGGATAAATGATGTTTTCACATGAAATAAAAACGTTCACAATACGATCTCATCATTCTATTCAAATGAAAAGGTTAATATTGAATTGTTTGCTAATTTTGTCAGTCCTCATGCTGTATTGTCTACTATATTCGTTCATTGGAGTCAGCAATGATTTAAATAAGTTTCAGGCAGAAAAATACAGTGAAGTTAAAAGAATTTGTGAATATTTGCTCACAACCAAATGTGTGAATCCCAATAATGGAGTTTTTGAAAGTATTCAGTCAAATCCGGACCAAAGCTCTATGTATTTATCAAATCCTCAAAAATGTGAAGAGTTTAAATTGTTCCAAGGTCATGTCATTCAATCCTCAATTGAAGAAAAACTATTTCCTTTAGCATTCAGTTTATCTGTTCATCAAAACATTAAACAAGTATCACGTCTACTTCGACTGATATACAGACCACATAATTTGTATTGTATTCATGTAGATTCTAAATCCCCAATTGAATTTTATGATCAAGTGTTAGAGTTGGCCCGATGTTTTGGTTTAAATGTTATGGTGTTGAACCGGACAGAAAGTATAAATATTCAGTGGGGATATTATTCCTTACTTGAAGCGTTTCTTGTATGTGCGGACAAATTAATGTAAAACACAGATTATATGTGGAAATATCTATTGAATTTGAGTGGACAAGAATTACCTTTGAGGACAAACTGGGATTTGGTTGCAGCATTGAAAGCAATAAACGGATCGAATGTCGTTGAAGGCTTAGGTCCAAATTTCTACCCTTGGCGTTGGCCTAAAAAGAATTTCTCATTTCCTGTAAGTTTCATAGTTAATATGATCTTGATAATGATTTTCTCTATTGGAACTTAATATAATAATAAAGTAAATACAGTTATGAACCATGCGTTGCATGTCTAGTTGGGGCAACCATAAAGAAGCTTTTAACATGATAAATCAAACTTGTAGAATTACAGTAAATGTAAATATTTAAAACAATTAGTCCCTTTGATAAATTTTGATAATGATATTAGAAGACGAAGATTATCTTCGTACACCATTTAAAATCATACCACGTGAATTAGGGATTGTTTGGAATAGAAAATAAAGTCAAATCGATAATGTTTAGGTGACTAATATGAAGTGTTAGCTTGAATCAGTTTATAAGTGAAATGAAATTGTGAGATAAGTGATCGGAATAAATATGGTGAACATGGGATGAGAGAGATAATCATGTAATTACAAAACAGAAATTGTGTAATATGTAGAATAATATGAATCAGGCACGAATTAGTGGATAGTGATGGATGCTGAATAAATTTCTGAAAAATGAGTAGCAAGTATTTCGGGTAGAACTAACTAGATATAACTATGTCAAGACAACAATGCAGTGTTCCACCAATCGAATCACTCTTGACGGAGAAGATTTGGAGGATGTAAAAACTGTTACATATCTATGCAGCATGATTCATGAACAAGGTAGATCTGATACAGATGTGAAGGTGCGGATCGGTAAAGCAAGAGCAGCATCTCTACAAATGAGGAACATGTGAAACTCGAAATAATAGTCAACTAATAACAAGGTCAGAATTTTCAATACAAATTTCAAGACAGTTCTACTGTATGAGGTGGAAACGTGGAGAACCATGGAAGCCGTCACCCACAAGATACAGGTGTTTATTAACAATTGTCTACGAAAAGTACTTCGGATCCGTTGGCCAAACACTATCAGCAACAACCTACTGTGGGAGAGCACAAACCGGATCTCAGCGGAGTAGGAAATCAGAAAGAGGAGCTGGAAGTGGATAGGACACGCATTGAGGAAAGCACCCAATTGTGTCACAAGACAAGCACTCACATGGAATCCTCAATGCTAAAGAAGGAGAGGAAGACCAAAGAACACATTACGCAGAGAAGTGGAGATAGACATGAGAAGAATGAACAAAAATTGAATAGAACTGGAAATGATGGCCCAGGACATAGTGGGTTGTAGAATGCTGATCAGCGACCTATACTTCATTAGGTGTTATAGGCGTAAGTAAGTAGTGCAATGTTCACTCTCGTTTATTATAGTTGTAATACTTTAATCAGTGTTAGAATTTAGCTGATATGTAGAATACTATTTTGAAGTGTTCTTTATGAATATGTCACGTCTCTTTGAAATCAATCATTGACTCCTTAATTTCTTTAAAATTTAAATGTCAACTACTATCCCTAACATTCATTGAAATTATATGTAAGCGTAAAACGGAAGAAGCTCAGTTCATTTTTTAGATTTTCTATCCTGACAGATTTAATATTGTATGTTTCATAAAGTTCTAATGACTTGCCTGATGTGTGCAGTTGAAATCGTAGGCATCACATTTTATTCGATAAAATAAAATGCTTATCACTTTATTCTTGTGATTCACTATCATTAAACTTTCTCCAGTTATTCCAAGAAGTTTCATTATATGAAGTATTTATAAAATGATCAGAGAGAACCACTGATTTATGAAGCACAACAAGTTCAAAGTACTCGAGTTCGAATCACAACTTTTATGATGTTCAATGATATTATCCAGTTGCCTCAAGAGAAGTGGATAAACAGGACATATTCCAAACTGTTTTAGTAGATAACGGTGGAAGGTTAAAAACGGGAAAAGAAAACTGTGATATTTTTACAACAGTTTTCAAGTAAAATTATCACTTACAATAATCATTTTATAAGACTGTTATTCTCTGTGGGGGTTTTTACAATTAATAGCGTTTTCAAAAATAAGTAAAATCTGAACTATTAAAATGAATCAAAATGAACAAATGAAAGTGAACATAAGTTGACTGTGATGATCAACTAAGCGTTTTGTGAAATTAGATATGATTTTGTGAACAATGCAATATAGAGTAATGTGTGAGATTGAAACTTGGATCTAATTGTTTACTTGTCATCTCTTTTAAAACTTTCTTCATGATATAATACTCTGTGCAGTCATATGCAATCGGTTCAAAATCATCATGAAACTTATTGGCGAAGAATTCAACTTGTGACGTTATGTACGGAAGGTTGTTTATGCCTATAATGCAAACAGCACGGCGCATTCTTGAACTTTTGCAACCTTCATTATACCATGTTACATAACGAGCTATGAAAATTTTCCGTGGATCTGAATTATTAGTAACATGAATTTCATTACAAGCACCAGGGGCACCAAGTAGTGGATTATGAGTTAGTGTAGGAAAAAATAGTTCATCTGGATGTTTTCTTAAGTGTCTTTCTTCTTTCATCGCATTGAGAATTTCGTTTGCTTTTTGATCAGTTTGATAGAAGTGAACAAACTCGCGCTTTAATGCCATGTAAAAACTTCCCTTGGTCCAAATAATCTAGAAAAGACAAATGGTTCTAGAGATAATGTTATTGTGACAAAATACATGATTCCACACACACACACACATGTATATTTATATACGAACAAAGCCGCACAACGATCTATTCATTACAAAAACTTTTCATATCAGGCTAAAAGTTGATTGAGTATAGTTTTAAACCCAACTTTACTGTGAATTCTGGTATTTCGATAGTCTTCAAGTAATTTGAACAAAAAGTGATTTGAATAAGTGTGGTGTTTGAATGAACTAATGATTCCTTTGCACTTGTTGAATGCTCGATTTCGAATTCTAAATACGGTACATTCTTTTGTGGTAATCTAGTACTTCTTGATCCGATTACGTTATTTTTGGGACTATTAGTTCATACTATAATTCAAATACTCCTATTTATCACATTGGGTTTGCGATGGAGCCTGCGATGGAACAGTTAAATATTCATTCAACTGCTGAAGCTTTTGAGGATTTTTTGAAAGGTTCGAAATCTGGGTTATGACCAAGAAAGATGGTGAGGATGGTAATGTTGTGGCACAATCCCTCACATTCATCGGAAAAGAAGCATATAGCTTATTAAAAACTCTGGCTTTACCGGAAAAGCCCATTTCGTTTTCTTATACAACTCTCAAGGATCTACTGCTAGACTATGTTAGGTATACAATTTTCGAATTCGGTAAAGGAGGAAGATCTCATAAAATGATTCATGAGAATATAAAAAATTCCACTGCATTATGTCATCCCAACCCAGTGCATACTCAAGGTTATGCAGATAATTCATTGAGGAGTTGCGATGCAGTTCACGAAGATGGGCACAAGTTTGGTCAGTATTTGTCCGGTGACAAGTTCCACTCTTTGAATTCATGTAAATTTCGTTATTCTATGTGCTTTTAATGTGGTGATGTTGGAAATATTCAGTCAGTTTGTAATACTACTGTTCATCTTGCTGCAACTAATATTAAGTCTTGTAATTCTGATTCTATTAATTTGAGTATTTATAATGATCATTTATCTTTATCAACGATTGCAATAGACAGTGTAGAGTCATATAGCAGTTCAGAGTTAAGTGAAACTCAGAATTCTTGCGAGACAACAGTTTCTAACCAAACGATTTATCAGATTTCTCATGTTATTGTACCAAATATGGTTTTTCCTAATGATTCACCTATTTCTGACGAAATCTCTTGCAAATCTGAAGTAAATATGCTGAGTGAACATAATTATGATCAAAAAGCTGATGTAGTTGTGATGGATGCTGATTTTTCTAATGATCCTTTGCTCTGCAATGACATTCTTAATAAATTCGAGGAAACTATTTCAGAAGAATCAAAACTTTATGTTCTATCAAATATTATTTGTCCTCATAATGCATTTATTTCTTGTGGGAAAATTGTTCAGTGCTAAGCACTAGTACTAAATGAGCTCGATTTTGATTACAATTCGGATGATTTCATATCAACTACTGTTTATCCTTATCACAAAAGCACTTCTAATGTTTACTCGAGTCAATGTGAGAAATATGTTTTAAATGAAGCCATATCATTCATAACTTAGGGATATAAAGATCCAACATTATTTCACGGAGGAAGATAGTGTTGGGAAATCTGTGCTTTAAATTCTAGATAGTGGTTTCGGTACACAACCGACATGGAGGTTGTATACAATCCCAGGAACCAAGTAAGTCTGTTCCGATTTCGGTTGTTAATTCCAATGCTAATTAGCACATTCTAGATAATACAGATTCCTTATCCAATACAGTGTCGGACAGACACAGGATGAACTTAAGAAAACGTACAATCGATTACAGACACTTAAACTTCAATTTAAGCTGTGGCGGATGTGGTGTTTGAATGAACTAATGATTCCTTTGTACTTGTTGAATGCGTGATTTCGAATTCTAAATACAGTACATTCGTTTTTGCTTTTCTAGTACTTCTTGATCTGATGACGTTATTTTTGGGATTATTAGTTCATACTATAATTCAAATACTCCTAATCATCATAATATGTTATGAGTATTATATTAACTTTTTCAAGTTAAGAGTTGCGGTAATCAATCGATAGTCATTAAATCTAATCGGCTTTTCATAACACTGATTCATTTTATTTAATAGATGTAATTGTTATTTGAAGTGTGTAAAATGTACTACCTAATCAAGCGAAACTTAGTTGCATGTTAATCTCTATGTCTAGTGATTTACATCACTTCATTCAGGAATATAATCTCAAATAGACTATAGTGACTATATTAACTGGAAATCAAGCAAAAAATTATGCATCGAGTTCAATATTATAAAGATTAGTGGTATTTATATGATACTGATGGTTTTCGCCAAATGCTCAGTAGATTACTGACTGCAACATTATGGATTGCATAATTAAAACAATCAAAACAATCAAAAGCATTTATAAAAATAGCTTCGAAAATACAAGAGGTATATGTGTAGATTCAATATTGTAGTTTTATTTCAGACTGTTTTACAAATTGTTATGTTACTTCTGTTACCATAGATCTGATTACACAGATGTTGTATGTTGTCTATTTTAATCATATTTACATTTACTGTAATTCTACAAGTTTGATTTATCATGTTAAAGGCTTCTTTATGGTTGCCCCAACTAGACATGCAACGCATGGTTCATAACTGTATTTACTTTATTATTATATTAAGTTCCAATAGAGAAAATCATTATCAAGATCATATTAACTATGAAACTTACAGGAAATGAGAAATTCTTTTTAGGCCAACGCCAAGGGTAGAAATTTGGACCTAAGCCTTCAACGACATTCGATCCGTTTATTGCTTTCAATGCTGCAACCAAATCCCAGTTTGTCCTCAAAGGTAATTCTTGTCCACTCAAATTCAATAGATATTTCCACATATAATCTGTGTTTTACATTAATTTGTCCGCACATACAAGAAACGCTTCAAGTAAGGAATAATATCCCCACTGAATATTTATACTTTCTGTCCGGTTCAACACCATAACATTTAAACCAAAACATCGGGCCAACTCTAACACTTGATCATAAAATTCAATTGGGGATTTAGAATCTACATGAATACAATACAAATTATGTGGTCTGTATATCAGTCGAAGTAGACGTGATACTTGTTTAATGTTTTGATGAACAGATAAACTGAATGCTAAAGGAAATAGTTTTTCTTCAATTGAGGATTGAATGACATGACCTTGGAACAATACAGCATGAGGACTGACAAAATTAGCAAACAATTCAATATTAACCTTTTCATTTGAATAGAATGATGAGATCGTATTGTGAACGTTTTTATTTCATGTGAAATCATCATTTATCCAGTTATTGAATATACACATTCAACTATCTGACTTTATCTGAAAGAGAAACCAGAATATGAGAATGACTCAAATTGAATGTTATTTAAATACGAGAAGAAAATATCCATAAATACTTCTGAAACCAATAATTAGACAATTGACAGGTATACCATAAGCAAGTGGTATGATTACACACAAATTTTGAGTTTAAAAGAGAACACTCACAGACAGGTTCATCTAAATGTTTGACCTCAATAAATCGCAGTATAATTGTGCTTATTTGACATTTACGGATTCACAATAATCTGTGCATGACATAAAAATGTTACTCACTACACCTACTGACATATGTATATATAATTTAATTGGATGAATAAAGTAATGTTTAAAAGTGCTATCGTAGTGGACGGAAACTCAAATACGGTAAACCAGTTTATTATTTTATACAAAAGCACACAATGCATTTGTAGAATATGAAGTAGATACATTAAATACATCATTTGTACACCATCGTCCTCTCAATTCTGTTGCTATTCTGATAGCTCTCTTCTTTCCATCCTCTTCTCTCTATTTCAGTCTTCTTCTGGTTAACATTTTAACTCCAATTCCTACTAAACACTACTTATATCTGTCCGCATAAGTAGCGTACAACACACTATATATATTCTCTAATTCATAAATTATTTATTAGTACACAATGTTAATACAATCCAAACGGAAACTGTTGGATTAGGCTTGTTAGTTATGCTTTTGGAAAGTGTGTATATTCATATATTTCAGTTTTCAGCAAATTTTAGAATAACATATCAGTTTAAATTGTAGACTTAATAAATTACAAACTTTCTTAGTGTATATGGTACCTTTTCCCATTTATAAATAACAATTAACTAATTAACGACATATCTCTTACTATTTTGATAAACATGTTTCAGATGTTATGATTTGTAGTTTTTTTCACACTGTTTTTCCATAATTTTCTTATAAGAATTGTGGAGGTCGGTATTCGTCCTGATAACCGCCTGACGGTGTATAAATCAGAGGACGAATATGAAGCATTCATTACGTTTATTATTACACCACACACAGATCACCAAAACCACAGGCACGCGAATCAAGAATGATATGCGAGTGCCGAAGAGCAGGCGAACAAGTTAGCAAGTGAGTCAATGAACATTATTAAAATGTACACATATGTACATATAAAAAATGAATAAGTCATCGGATCATTTAAGCGACTAACACTAAAGCTAGTAGAATGAATATGTGCTTAGTCGGTAAGCGATGCTCAAGCATACGTGTTCATACAAGCGCAACAATAATAGAAGTACAATGGTATAAATAAGTTTTTGTTGTTGTTTTTGTACGTGTGACTCTGTTAAATAAATTAATGAGAATGCGTAACCAAATTAAATGTAAACAAACTCGAATGTGTGTAATCTGCTATAGTATACATTATTTGTAAATGATCATCTTAAATAACAATCTATTACTGGTGTTAGCTTCTGTTGTTTGAAATAAAGGTTAAAGAAAATAATGAATTCCACAGATTCTTATAAATTTATAACTCAGATAATTAAAGTAAACAATTTGTTATTGTCAGTTGATAAACAGTGAATAAAGAATATTGATTATTTTCAGTTTATTTCTTTGATATATAAACTGTTCTACGCGATTCC